TAAATGAGGGGAGTGTCTCAATTAGAACTGTGACGTCACCTCAGACTATAAGTACAGTAGCTCAAGTGAAGACAGACGAGGTGAGCTCCTGAACCGAAAGTGTTGGTCTGCTGGTAGCAGTGAACAAGGTGTCGAATAGGAAATCCTAGTAGGAGATTGAAGGTTCGAGTTTGATGAGTTGAACAGAGGAAAGTCTTGAGTAGAGGAAAAGGTTCCGAGTATTAATTGAGGTGACGGTTAGGATTGATAGTTATAAGAGAATTTGTATCTAAGTTAAGAGTTGAATTTTGTTTTGTCGGAATTCCAAGGGGAATAGTTTCTAAGTTAGAATAAGACTTAAGTTTGTCGGGCTGATTGTGATTTGATTTTTTTATTTAATAAATTTGTTGTTTGTTTATAAAACTTGTACATAGTATTTGTTAGACTTGATTAAACATTTATTATTGAGAGTTTTTTTTGTGACTAACTTTGTCCTTACTTTATTTCGGTGCACGCTAAAAAGTCCAGGCCTGGCAACTAACAAACGCGAACCCGCGTAAAGTACCCGTTAGGTACCGGCTCTTTAAGAAAAATTCGTTGTAGAGCAACAAACTAAATATAGTACTTTACAAATGGAGGGGGGACCCTTTGGCATTGTCACATGTATTAAGTTCATATAAATAGCTAAAGTTTCCACCTGTGCTATTGAGCAGTGTGTACCTAGACAGAAGCAAGCGTTGTAAAGCTTGTGGCCTAAGTCAGAGTAAACTACAAAAGCGGCACCCACTTCGTCACCCATCTTGGAACCATCAGTGTAAATCCTGAGTTGTGTATCAAAAAAACAAATTTATGTATAATACAATGGAGAAAACTATTGTACCAATAAAAAGTAATATATGGTATAATAATACAAAATCAACAAATAGGATATAGAAGTGCACAATAAACTATAAAAAATATTTTTATTCTCAAACAAATTCTCTGAATTAGAAACAATAAAGTCTTACAATGCTCATAAGAGGAGTCAGCACATGTGATGTTGTGGTGTAGACTGCTGCAAGGCATCACTTTGCTTACCATATTCATCACTGATGAACATGGTAAGTAATAATAATAGTAATTGTTTTATAACTGAAAGTTTTAATATTTGTACATTAATATAATACAGTAGACCCCCTATAACGCGGGTTCATATATCACGGCAAAAAAATTGCAACCATATTCGTATAAAGACACTAAAAGTGACTTGTAAAATGCAGTAAAATGTCATCGCCGACTCGTGTCGCGATAGGATTGGTTGAATCTGGACCAANATAATGTCATGACAGAAAAATCATTGAAGGGAAGTTGGTTATAATATAATGTGCAATATAATAAACTTTCATATTTTATTGTAAGAGAACAAGGAAAGATGAATATGTTTTAAATGAATTGTCAGGTTAAATTTATTTTACAATCATTTTCTTTGTTTGATGACTATGGTTTTATGTTGTCACAGATACACAGAAGCTTCTAGCATGAGTAAATATGTTTTTGAAAAAGTTAAGTTACTGAAAGTCTACATTTTTGATGATGGAAATAAAATCTTAAATGAATATAATAATCAAGAAGACTTCAAAAAGATATTTTCATTGACTGATCGGTTTTTATTGAGATTTCTTATGCAATAACAACAAATTTTGACTGAAATGATTGTGACAAAAGCATGCCAATTACATTGACAAGATTCCATTGTCTTAATGAATAAAATTATTGATATATATTTTTAAATGATGACAAATGCAAAATCAGTAAATGTTGAATTATAAAAGAAAACAGCAAATCTCAATAAAGTGCCTCTCTTGTAAAGATTCAATGAATATTTGCAAATGTATCTTCCCCATAAATAATAAATAGAAAATCTTTCAGTATATGTGAAATATTAAATGTGTGGTTTTGTATTGCAAACATCATTGTTATCCCCAAATCATGACATTTTTCAAACTCTCAAACTTTTGTATATAAAAGTAAGATATTTAAAACTTATTTAAAGTCCTCGTGCAAATTATAATTATTCAGAGTAAATAAGGGGCTAATCTCATGCTTGGAAAATGAACATTAATTAAACTTATCAGAAATGAAAAATGCATGAATTTTGCCAACAAACATTAAGTAATCAAAAGAATTTATGTCTGTAATAAAACATAAATTTAATTACCTTTCAGGACTCGAGTTAATAGCGAATTTCTGTATGGTTTATGAGTTTTTTGATGTTTGTTATTTAAAGAGTTCATTACATGAACCAATGTAAGCAATCCTAAGTTTACTTGAATACCTGAAAGATTTTTAATATATAAAATTGTTACTAAATGATAAACATTTCATTGTCACATAAGTAAAAAAATAAGATTAAAATATATTTCAAATAAATTAAAAATTAATTAATTATTAGATTTTTTAAATATAATAATAAAATAGATAAAGTATATTATGATTAAAAATTGTTTTTAAAATTTTAACATGTTCACTGTCCACATAGGGAGCAATCTCTCTAGTTGTGTATCAAAAAAACAAATTTATGTATAATACAATGGAGAAAACTATTGTACCAATAAAAAGTAATATATGGTATAATAATACAAAATCAACAAATAGGATATAGAAGTGCACAATAAACTATAAAAAATATTTTTATTCTCAAACAAATTCTCTGAATTAGAAACAATAAAGTCTTACAATGCTCATAAGAGGAGTCAGCACATGTGATGTTGTGGTGTAGACTGCTGCAAGGCATCACTTTGCTTACCATATTCATCACTGATGAACATGGTAAGTAATAATAATAGTAATTGTTTTATAACTGAAAGTTTTAATATTTGTACATTAATATAATACAGTAGACCCCCTATAACGCGGGTTCATATATCACGGCAAAAAAATTGCAACCATATTCGTATAAAGACACTAAAAGTGACTTGTAAAATGCAGTAAAATGTCATCGCCGACTCGTGTCGCGATAGGATTGGTTGAATCTGGACCAACAGTGGACAAGCAGCCAAACTACTTACATGCTACGGAGAGTTTAGGCGGGTAAGTTGAGTTTACTATTGTCTGTACAGTATATAAATTAGGTACTGTAAGTCTAATACAGTACTGTAATTTTATATATTTCTTGTGAAAAAAACATTTCTTATTCAACAACCATAAAAATTATTTCTATTAATGATGTCTCCAAAGTTAAACAAATTTTTCACAAAGAAATAACTTATCAGAAAATGCGGCCGCTGTTTGGTGCACTGCTCCGCGATGAAAACAAGCTTAAGCAATGGCGTCTTCGAACAGTGCACACTCGGTAAGTAATCCTACAATTTTTTATTTATAGCATAGTTTATATGGATTATTCCCAAAAAATTATACATGTTTTGGAAATGTTGAGTCAAATTAGTCTAGAATCGATTAATTTTATGGAAAAAATCTTTCAAACAGCCGTAGTCTGCAAACTGCACACGTGCCGGGCTGTGATTGAAACCTTTCAAACAGCCATAGCCCGCAAACTGCACACGTGCCAGGCTGTGATTGGCTCATGTATTTAAGGATTCCTACAATGCGAAATTCTTATAAAGTGGAACGTATCTACCGTGTTATAGGGGGGGAGGTCGACTGTATAATGCAAGAATTTGAAATAAAAATTATTTTTATAATTTTGGTCTATGTTGTGTCCTGTATTATCTATTGTTACCAATTAAACAGTTGTTATGTTAATTCATCTCTGCATAAGTCACTTCCAGTGCATTGTCTCTCCCTCCATCCTGAATCCATTCACTCACACATGCAATCATTCGTGCGAGAACATAACAGTTTCTGTGTCTGTCCATAAAGACACAGTGGTGTCAGTCCTCATGAAACTTGTCATTGTGATCTTCGCCGATGCGATGTCAACCGTTCAGTCCCGTGGTGCCGAAGAATGTGTAAGGAACCAAGTCCAAGCTTTATTTTTATTTTACTTTTATTTTGCTTTTATTATATTTTTGTTTGGGGCTTATGTTTAGTTAGGACGAAGGTTTCCTCACCCATCACCCCAGAACGTTCAAAACGAGAAGATAAAAGATTAACCAACTCACCGACGACGAAACGACAGTGCCATAGCTAGCAGTCGCACTCACGTGCACGCCCGAGCGGCAGAATTGTAAGTCCGCACTGAAGGGGGGGACACCCCAATAGACTTTCTAGGAACTTGTGTAACCTTCAATTAAACATCCCGATAATTGTTAAAGAAATGTTGTAAAAGGTTAACAAAGTATTGTCGAGAAATAAGCTACCAGATAACGAAAAGAAAACAAGTATGTTACGTGTAGATATGTAAATGAGGGAAGTGTCTCAATTAGAACTGTGACGTCACCTCAGACTATAAGTACAGTAGCTCAAGTGAAGACAGAAGAGGTGAGCTCCTGAACCGAAAGCGTTGTCTGCTGGTAGCAGTGAACAAGGTGTCGAATAGGAAATCCTAGTAGGAGATTGAAGGTTCGAGTTTGATGAGTTGAACAGAGGAAAGTCTTGAGTAGAGGAAAAGGTTCCGAGTATTAATTGAGGTGACGGTTAGGATTGATAGTTATAAGAGAATTTGTATCTAAGTTAAGAGTTGAATTTTGTTTTGTCGGAATTCCAAGGGGAATAGTTTCTAAGTTAGAATAAGACTTAAGTTTGTCAGGTTGATTGTGATTTGATTTTTTTATTTAATAAATTTGTTGTTTGTTTATAAAACTTGTACATAGTATTTGTTAGACTTGATTAAACATTTATTATTGAGAGTTTTTTTTGTGACTAACTTTGTCCTTACTTTATTTCGGTGCACGCTAAAAAGTCCAGGCCTGGCAACTAACAAACGCGAACCCGCGTAAAGTACCCGTTAGGTACCGGCTCTTTAAGAAAAATTCGTTGTAGAGCAACAAACTAAATATAGTACTTTACAAATGGAGGGGGGACCCTTTGGCATTGTCACATGTATTAAGTTCATATAAATAGCTAAAGTTTCCACCTGTGCTATTGAGCAGTGTGTACCTAGACAGAAGCAAGCGTTGTAAAGCTTGTGGCCTAAGTCAGAGTAAACTACAAAAGCGGCACCCACTTCGTCACCCATCTTGGAACCATCAGTGTAAATCCTGAACATGGGATGATCACCTGGATCTTCAAAGTAAACATTAGGGGCAAACTGATGGGAGGGGTGGTAATTGTAAGTCAGGAGGGTATTTTTGTTGATACTGAATTCTTTATATCATCGATCAAGGTCAAACTGGGGGAATCTTACCTACTCTAATCATTTTGTTGATATCCAAGTTGCTATAATCTTGCCAGGGTAAGATGACGAGATTTTCCTGCCAAATAATGCATTTAATTTCTAAGTTGATAGGGGTCAACTCTGACATTAAAAAGGGCACTAGTGGGTGCAATCCTATAAGCCTTATAAATGCAGTTTTTTATGGTTATGGACTTCGGCAGCCACGTGGCCCCAGACCTGTACAACATACAGGAGTGTTGGCTGAATTGCACCCCTGTAAATAAGCTTAGTAGCATTAGGACCAAGGCCCCATGTGTTCCTAACAATACTAATGAGGGCATTGGCCATCTTTTTAGCTTTGTCTGTGATGTATTTGATATGGGGTGTGAAGTTAAGTCTCTTGTCAAGAATAACACCTATTCAAAGGGTAAGCTTCCTGACAAGTGACATGTTCCTACCAACTATCATGCTTTTGCATTTGTCTGTGTTAATGGGTTGCCTATGCTTAATACTCCACTGGTGAATGTTATTGAGAATGTTGATGCATATGTCCTGTAAGCATTCACTGTTCCTGTGTGAAGCTAGAATAATTGTCGTCCACATAGCCTGTATATGGCAGCCAGGAGGCAGGTGTCGTATAAGTGCAGGATAGAGTTATAGGCTATGTTCCATAGACCAGGACCAGACCCTGAGGACAGCCTCGAGTAATAGGTATGACTATGTTATTTTGTGTTGTACATCTGCATGCCTGTCACTAAGATAGGACTAAAGATGTCTGTAAAGATTTTGAGGACAGTGATGAGCATGCAATGTGTGCAGGATAAAAGGCCACCAGATGTGATCAAAGGCACCTCTAAAGTCAATAGTGATTGCAGTATGCTGATTGTTTTGTTTAGCCTGGTGGATGTAGTTAACAACCTGATAGATAGTATCTACTGTACCTTTGTTTTTAGAGAAGCTGAACTGATTCTGATGCAGGGCTCTATGCTTTCGTAGATGTCATGTGATCCTATTAATCATTAAACTGTCTAACACTTTTCCCAGAGTTGGGAGATTGGCCTGTATTTTCTGTAAGTGTTAGCGCAAGTGGATTTGGGAATCAATTTGATACTAGCCTTTTTCCAGTGAGAAGGAAAAAGGCCAGTGTTCAAGCAGATATTGAAGAGAATAACAAACTCTGTAGGATTGGCCTGAAACATGTGTTTAATCATTCTTGTGGTTATGCCTTCAGGGCCTGGGGCTTTGTAATTGGTGAGTGAACAGATGGCATTCGAAACCTCAATGCAGGTGAAGTTATGGTCATTGTCTGTGTTAGGTGGAGTGAGTGTAGAACTTCTGATGACCACTTGTGTACTATCATCCTGCTGTGGGTCATCCAAAGGGTAAAGACTAATGAGAATGCATGTAGTTGAGTGAGAATGTGAAATATTTTACATATTTCTAATTACTACATAATTTCTTTTGTACAGAGTCTTATACAATAGATTGTAATGTATTTCTAGGAAATTTCTTATAGCTCTTTTCTTAAGTGTTTTAATATATATACGGTTTTACTTTATTTCTGAATATAGCACGTTTAGCAGCCACATCACTGTGCTTAAACAAATTGTTGGGTTTTTATTGTTTCCAACACTGCATTGTTGGTCTTGTGCTCTAATTTTGTTTTGTTAATAATTGTGATGCAGTCGCTCTGGGGCCCACACCTTCTTTTCCAACCTACATAACTCTTTCATTCCTCCTCTTCTAACTAGTCATTACATTTCTCTTAGCATTTTCATCTTCAGCACCTTAATCCCTTACTTCGCTATTTCCTTCTATGAGGCTAAGTCCAATTCATTAATGGACAGCCTCCTAATCGCTGTATAAAATAAAAATACATGAATAAGCTAGAGTGTGTGTGTGTGTTTTAATTTTTACTAAAAATGATTCGAACTCTATATTCAAGTCAATTCATTGTCTGAACAGCAGCCCAATCATTCCATGGATACTCATGTTAACTATTTTTAAAATTATAAAATCTAGGGTGTCCAGAAAGTTACTGTGCAAGGGAAAAGATTTAAGTTAAGTTTTATTAAAAGTAAAGTTTTGCATACAATATTCCAGTTTCTCCTGCAGAAAATGTCTTCCAGAGGTCCCAAAATATGGGGCAAGAGGTCTGGAAATCTAGCAGGATAGATTCCACAAGAGAGTATGCAAACAGCAAATAAATCTTCCAAAAACTGTAGTTTATAAACCAGAACATTGTGAGCAAGTAGTAACACCATCTATTGCAAAGTGGAAACATGGGACATACAACTTACAGGTCTTGTATGCAATGCTGTACACACAACTTTAATGCTATTACAAATTTCTCACTGTATAGTAACTTTTTAGTCATCCTGTACCTATAAACTGTATGTAGTTAAAAATTATAAGGGAAAATATTGATAGAGTATCTGTAGACAAGAGATGATAATCTTTAATTGCTAATACGTCGCACTAACCTTGTATAGCTTTGCACTTAATTTTAGAAATGTAACACTAACATTTTCGATCCAATCTAGGACCTTCTTCGGATGTTCTATAAAAATTTTTCTGGTGTGATTCGAGTGTGATTTAGCTTCTGATTTTAAATGTTCTAGTTTCAAATGTTTCTATCTTCGAATTTATGTTTTTAAATTTTAAATTTCCAAAAGATGTGCGCATACATTGATTGTTAGAGCACCAGGTCATACGTAGCCTGCCATACTCTTGAGAGTCGTTTTTCGTCCTTAAAATTGATTGACAGGCCTTCGCAGTCCACTTTAAAAATTTATAATGCCTCCAGATTCCGTAGTTGGTTTATATGCCAAGCTTGCCAGATCATTGTTGCTTGTTGAAGTTCTGGTGTAATGCTGTTTTCACTGGCATATATAGCTAAGGCAGTAATGGTTTTCCTTTTCTCAATGTCCTTTTGTGTTCACGGAGGCATTGTTTGAGCGATCTTTTTGTAAATCCGATATATACAAGGTCTCTATCAAATCTGTTATCTCTTAGCAGAATTTTATACACTCCCAGCATTCTTTCGATTTCCACTCGATTTTTCTCATTCCTTAGCATGCTGAATGTATCTGGCTTAAGTCTATAACCTATTTTCACATTAGTATAAGCCCCAATTTCTTGATATAGGGACTGTATAGTATTATATTTCTTAAATTAACTGCAAAACTATACAAGGTTAGTGAAACATAGCAACATATTAGTAGTTATTATCGCTTTGTTTGATGGCTAAATTTGATTTTTAATTGCACCTTGTATAACTAATAAATTTAACTTTATGGCTATTTAATTACACCTTCTTTAGTAGGTTCTAAATCAATAAGAAGAGAATTGAATTGCTTTTCACCACAGACTATTTATTTAAAACTCCAAATGACTATTATATAATATCTAATACAATTTTTTAAAGTATGGCAGAAATATTTCTCGTGGAAAAATATAGGATAAAAGTATTTAATTCTGAAATTGATCTGTTTATCATAGATCAAATTCAATTATTAAAGTAAGTATCTATGAATGTTATTGATAATCAATTATAACTTTTAGGACAAATTACAAAACAAGAAAAACTAAAATATAGAAAATAAGGTACAAATAGAAAAATTAGTAGAGAGTAATTATATTGTGTTATATAATATTAATTAGAAATGTTGATAAAATTATTGAAAAAATTAAGAAAATTAAAATGATGTTTATTAAATTTTATATAAATTATTTTAAACAGACAGCTGAGGAGATTAAGATGTGTCAGTCTACTGTTCTGAGGAACCAGAATGGACTGAAAAAAGGCCCTCTTAGTGCCCACAGGATAGAAAACAGAAAAAAAACGATTTAAAAATTTAAGAACTTACTTTTTTTGTAAAACAATTTTTAAAAAATTATATTTTAATTGTAATTAATAGTATTACAGTCAATTATAAAAATGTTTATACAATGATAATTTTTAATAAGAATTGCATACCTTCTCTAGATATATTTGGAATTTTACTTTGAGTTATTTCTGATGAAGCCAAGTCCACAAAACAAAGTTTAGATGTACTCCTGATATAAAAATGATATAAAATAGTTTATCAGATTAAAATAAAAAAATAATTCTAATAAAATTAAAAGCTAAATATATATAAGTTTATCAATTCTATCAATAAAGTTTTCATAATTAACATACTGAAAACTTATTATTGTTTTCTTTTTTATAAGTACAGTAGACTTGTGCTAATCCAGCCATTCTTTGCACAGAGAGATACCAAATTAGTGAGAGAGCCAGATTATTGTGTGTTAAAGGCAATGAATGACATAACCTGTCGCCCTTTGTCACAAAATTCTTTTGGAAGCAAGCAGGCAAATAATATGGCAAGTTGATATTCAAGACTATGCAAAGAAATAAAGAAGGATGAAACAGGAAGTCAAGATGCATGGCATGACTATCATTTTCATAGATGATGACACTGGGAAGTGTGCCAGATAATTGAGAAGACATAATAACAAAAGTATACTGTAATTAAATTTACAAAATCATCATTTGGTTTGCATTAGAATTACTATTCAAAATAAATCATTAAACTGATTTATTATGAAAATTAATATTGATCAAGATTACAAATAAAATATGTCATATTAAACTAAACATTTAATAATTTTTAATTTGTGTTAAAATATTGATGTGAAACTAATTATACACATAGACAACCTTTATAAATTTTTTGTGAATTCTACAATATAAGAAACTATCAATTCTCAAATTAAGATTTAATATTATAACATTTCATGAAAGTCTGTCTGCATATATAATAATGTTTTATTATATGAATAATCTAAATTCTCTTAATAGAAAATTATAGCTTATAATTCACTGTAAAAAGATCTACCATATAGCTATAAAATGTATTCATCAGTTGGAAAAAATGGTTGAATATTTAAATATTTGGAAGTAATTTTCAAGAAGAAAGTTCTAGTTTCTTTAAACAGAGTGTTAATGTTATTCCTACTGTAAACTTTAATGGTAATAATATAGTCATAAAGATCAATGAAATAATTATGTTTTTAAAGACAAAAATTGACAGAGCTGTAGCCTGCAGAAATTTTGGAAATTCTTCTATGGTAGATAATCGGCAAATTCTTTACAGCAAAATTTCACTTTTGCCCCTCCATTTAATTTCATATTTCGGCCAATCACGCATGGGATGAAATCTATTCAAATGATCTGTACATTTGACAGCATGTTTCATATGTACAGTACATACAGAACAAAAATTTTTATTGTCGCATGCTTCATTCTACTTATAAACTGTTTATCCGGAAGATTTTGCAATGTCAAAAATGTTAGTATTATAGGTACGTTTATTTTATTATTTTGTGATAATTTATCTGAACTTTTCATGCTCAAAAAACTGGATTTTCCTTTACAAATAACTCTGTAGTGTACATCCTTTTATGCATTGAATGCACTCAATAAAACACTCAAATCAAATTTTACATTTAAAAATTGAAGTAAGAATGACAAAAATGTTACCTAAACATAATCCTACTCTCTTAAATAAATAGGAACTTTCAAAAATATATATATTTTGTTTCTTTGATTTCATATATTGTATTTTTATAGACAATGCATTGTTATAAAATTGCAAATAAGGGATCGTCAGGGAGATTGGTGCGTTTTTGCTAACACTTCGGTTTACTGAGGAAGATTTGTCATTTGTGTTTCTTGAGTGTTATTTCTACAATGTTTAATTTAAAATTAATCCAATTAATACTACTAATGTCCGGAATTGAACCGAATCCAGGCCCTCTTCAGAAAACGCCACCCAAAAGAGGAAGACCTCCAACAAACCGAACAGCTCAATCGTCATTCAACACTAAACCAGCTGAAGGTGAAATCAACTTAATTACCGAATATACTCAACAAAGAAGAGCAGAACCAACTATCCAGGTTAGTGAAAATTCTACTTTGAATCCTTCAACCGCAATTTCAAATATGGAAATATCGGACACTTCAACCTCACTTCTATGGACGAAGATAGTTGATCTGATAACGACTAGTAATGAAAAAATAGAAAGTCAATTTGCTTTAATTCACAAAGAAATTACCACCATTCATAATGAAATCAGTGACTTTACTGGACAAATTCAAACTATTAAAGATAGAAACGATATAATCGAATCGGAACTTAAAAAATTAAAAACTCAGAATGAACTTCTACAATTTAAATTTGACTCCATGCAAAACAAATTAAATAATAATAATCTAATAATATATGATTACTCAAAAATTTTCAATGATAGAAGTGAAGAAGAAATATTAAGGTTTTTAAATAATTCACTCAATATTCCATGCAAAATGAATGAAGAAATCAAATTAATCCGTAATATTCCTAATTCCAAGATTAATATTAAATGTTTAATTTTAAAATCTGATCAACTGAGAAATGAGATACTGATCACCTTTAATAAGCGTAAACAAAACAATTCATTGGGACCATGGCAAAACTTAAACATGTCAGTAGATCTGGTTATTAATTCTCGGAAAAGAAGAAAAGCTTTATTACCTTACTATATCGAATTAAAAAAACGAAATATTCAGGTCAAATTACGAGACGATTTCCTTATAATTAACCAGAAAAGAATAACTTATAGTTTCTTAATAAATCAACTAGTAAATGCAGAGGATTTTTTAGAATATACGACTTAAATAAGTCCGATAATTGCCACTCTCCTAAAATAATCAATAATGAAATTGATAATAATAAAAATCAAGAAAATTCTTATTTAAATATAATAAACTGGAATTGTAATGGTTTATCGAAAAAAATTGATAACATTGAGTTTAAACAGTTATTAAATAATAATGATATAATTGGTCTTACAGAAACTTGGTTAACTTCTCCAGATAAAAAGTTTAAAGATAAATATGTGGAATATACTGTGTTATCAACTATGGCACATAGGCCAGTTGGGCCCGGTCGTCCATATGGTGGATTAAGTATATTTATCAAGAAAAATATAGGCATAATTAAGAATATACACAAAAATGATAACAGTATATCGATTATAATCCAAATTACCAACCCACATATGCAATTTTTGCTAAACAGACTAGTAGGCATTATACTGGTTTATGTCCCTCCAGATCAACCGCAAATCTTAAATGATATTTATAAACACATCGAACAATGGAAAATTATTACCCCATATATTATTATATTAGGAGATTTGAATGCGAGAATTGCCCAATTAATGGATGTGAAATATAAAGGACCAAATTCAGAAATTCAAAATAATCGTAAATCCAAAGATAAAAAATATAACAAAATAGGTCTTCAATTATTAGAATATATTAATCAGTTACAATTATATATACTGAATGGTAGAATAAAAAATGATTACCCGGCGGAATTTACTTGTCTTACTAATTCTGGCTGTTCTACAATTGATCTAATAATATGTTCAGAATTAATTACAGACTTATGCAAATGTATTCAAGTATTAAACTATGATCTCTCCGACCATTTTCCTATAAAAATGTCTATTCTAATAGCAAATAATCAACTATATAAATCTGAATCAAAATCACATCAAATAATCAAATATAACTACCAACAATATCAACTAATGATTAGTAATAGAATTGGACAACTAACGAACTATCTTCCAACGGAAGGAATGGACAAATATTCTCGTTTTGAACTAATATTAAAAGAATTTATACAAATATATAACTCAAAGTATAATATAACGTATAAATTTAAAAAGCCATGGTTTGATTTAAATTGTTACAAACTTAAAGTACAGAAGAATAAAGCTCTAAAACAATTCAGAAACTGTTACTCAGATATTTCTTTCAACCGTTATAAACAGTTAAAAACTTCTTATTTCAACTTACTGAAAGTAAAAAAATTAAACTATTTTAAAAAACTTCAACAACAAATGATAGCAAACAAAAATAATCAACTTTTTTGGTCATCAATTCAGAAATTACGAAAATCTTGTCTAGAATGTCAACCTGATATAGATATTTCAATATGGTCTAGTTATTTTAATAGATTTCCGGTTATTGAAAACTCACCAAATAATCATCAAACAACCGTAACGAATGACTTTTTTGATGCACCTCTTACCTATGATGAATTGGAATACTCCATTGGAAAATTAAAAATAAAATCATCGCCAGGTCCAGATTTAATTACTAATAAATTCATCAAACTTTTACCTCCATCAGGAAAACATGTACTACTTGAAATATATAATTATTTTTACGAACAATTAATATATCCGTCATCTTGGAATACTGTAAAACTACTTATGATCCATAAAAAAGGAAATAGATTATCACCAGAAAACTATCGTCCTATCGCTCTTCTATCAACTTTAAGGAAATGTTTCACATCAATATTGGCATTACGATTTCAAAAATGGACGACAAATCAAAAACTAATTTCGAATTTACAGTTTGCTTTTATAAAATCCAAAGGAACTGAATCGGCCATATTCTTATTAAACTCACTAATTCAAATATACTTAAAGAAAAAACGAAGAAAAATTTATGCTGCATTCATTGACATTACTAAAGCATTTGACTCTGTTCACGTACCCTCTTTGGTTAACAAATTAAAAGTATTTGGTGCAGGTACCAAATTTACAACTACAATTATGGAACTTTTTTCCTCTTACAAAATCAATATAGTATACGGAAAACAGAGATATCCTGAAATTATAATAAATCGAGGAATTTTACAAGGTGAGCCATTGTCTCCCTATCTATTTAATTTTTATATTAATGAAATAGATAAGCTATTCTTATATGATTCAGAAGGCATTAATATATATGGAAGAACATTTCACTACATTCTATACGCAGATGATTTGGTTTTATTGGCCCCAACAAAAGTTACTCTACAGCATAAGATTAATAAAGTGAACGACTATCTGAAATCTATTTATTTAACGATCAATACTGATAAATCAAAAATAATAATATTCAGAAACAATATTAAACTGGCAAATCAAGAGAAATCATTTTATATAAATAATCAACCGTTGGA